AACTTGTTTCATGCTTGACTGTAGAACTAAATTAATTATAATGTTTTTGGCTCAACTAATTATAAACAAAATGCAGTCATAACTGAACAATGCTTCAGCAAATGCAAAATTTCACAGCCATTTTATCAGCATGGGTAATTTAAGAAAATGTAGCATCTTTTGATATGCATTCAGCTCTTTGAAGCATTGTGGCTTTTGTTGAAAGAGGTGCTTTAAATTGGATAACACCTCCAAAAGCACATAAACACTTTTTAAAAGGATAAAAATGATAAAATGATAAAAGTGTTTAAATTGACCCTAAGAACTATAATTAATTCCCTTCTATTAATAAGGCTCTAAGCTTTTAATTTAACTGAAATTTCCTTTCCCCCCCTAATTTAGAAAATCAAAGGAGAGTTACTTTGAGCTTAACACAAACCAATTTTCGTGCTTTCTTCTTTAATTGCATCCCCAGGTCCAAGATTTTAAAGTCTAAAGTTTAAGATACAGTTCAAAACCTTACACATCCATTTCCCATTTTCTGTGGTCTTCCAGCCATGCAACCACATGTATAAATGTTGCCAAACATAAATTGGCCCATAGAATTCAAACATATATGAGAACAGTTCCATAATATTTGGGATTCCATTTTTTTGTTATAAGATAGATCAACTGAGACAATAATTATTATATTAATAACATAAACTGTATTATATAACCCAGGTGTCTTGTGTTTACTGCCCAACAGTAGAATTTCATTCTATAGGTATTGTACAAAACTGTAATTGTTTTAAAGTACCACCAACACTTCTATTTAGGTTGTCTTTCTATTGTTCCATTTAAAGTGATATTCCAACGAAGTTGTATCATATTTTATTTACTTGGATTTGCCCACTGTCTTGACAGAATCCAATGAGTTGACTAGGATTACATTTCATTGTGGATTGGTTTTACCTGTGGCTTGTGATTAAGGTTCTCTAGGTTCTCAAGAGTGCTGCCTCTGGGGGTTGGATCCTTGCCCTTTGTGGCTCATTTTTGTCACCAGAGAGTGGACAAGGAGCTGGATCTGAGAAGTGGTGAAAGTCTACCTTGAAAGTGGCAACAATGCACCTCTTCCACAAAAGGCTATTCTTAGATCTAGCCAATATGAACAGCTTCTGTCCATCAAAATCCTTCCCTTTCTGGGGAAAGTGTTGGAGAAGATAGCATGACAACAATTATAGAAGGCCCTGAATGAAGCAGTTTAGGGGAAGAAAAGTTTAATAGAGTGTCCTACAAATTTTGACCCACTGTTTGAAAGCTTGAGGGATGGGGGAAAAAGAGGTTTTGAATTAATCCTGACAAGATATGCTAGCTGGTGATTCAGGAGCTATCCAATTCCTGAACAGTTACATCATTGACTCTGGTTGGGGTTACAGGTAGTCCTCGTTGAATGATCACTCATTGAGTAACCATTTGAAATTACAAACAAGGGGACTTACAACTGTTCCATCACAGCATCCCCATGGTCACATAATCATGATTAAGGCACTTGGCAACTGGCTCACAATTACAATGGTTGCAGCATCCTGGGGTCTCTTGATTGCCATTTGTGACCTTCGCTGCCAGCTTCTGACAAGCAAAGTCAATGGGGAAGACATCATGAGGTTGCAAATGGCGATCATGTGATGCTGCAACTGTGTGGGATTCGCCTAATGACAGCAACTGGGACTGCCAGGACTGCCACAATGGTCATCCTAAGTCAGTGCAGTCACATGATGTTGCACTTTACAACCACGTTGCTTAATGATGGGGTTGCCAGTCTCAATTACTGTCATTAAGCAAGTACACTCACCATGTACCTGTACACTCACCATGAAGAAACAGGTCTGTAATCTGGGGGTTATCCTGGACTCATCCTCCTGCTAGAGCACCAGGTGAATCTATGGCCAGGATAGCTTTTTCCCAGCTGAGGCTGGTGCACCAGTTGCATCCAATGCAGTTGCAACATTACTCATATCCTTGTTGTTACCTTGTATTGTACTACTGCAAATACATGGACTTACATGGAGCTGCTCCTGAAGGTCACCCAGAAGCTACAGCTGATACAAAATGCAAGTAGCCATGTTACACATTTCTTTGGAAACTGCACTGGCTATCCATCTGCTTCCAGGTCCAGTTCAAGGAGCTAATTATCACCTACAAAACTTTACATGGCTTGGGTCCCTGGATATCTTCCAACTTGCCTATTTTGTAGAAGCTGCCCACCCAATATTAATTAGCAAAGATAATATATTGTAAGTCCCCTTCTTCCAGGACTGAGATGACGTAGAAGCCTGGAAAAGGATCTTCTCTGTTATGATCCCTTTCCTTTGGGACAATCTGCCCCAAACCTGTTAGATTATTGTGCTGCAAATAGAGGTTAAAGACAGATGCAGGTTTTTTTTAAAATTATTATATATCAGGTGTTGTTTCAACTGCATGCTATGGAACTAACCTTTATTAATTATGTTTTGGAACAAATGGCTGTTTATTATATCATAATAAATTGATGACATAAATAAAACATTAATATAAGTATTATTCAAAATTTGATTACAAATAAATGTTTTACATAATTGTTTCCTAATTACTGACCAATATTCACCACACATATATAGGAAGATTCAAGCTGACAGCCTTGATTTTCCCATATTCTTAAATGATCTTTCTTTGAGATTGATCTTATTCTTTCCCACATAAAATTCTTATCACTTTAAGTAAACTATAATGAAAATGAGGCCAAATTTTGTCTAATGCAAAACATGAAATAAAGGTTGATGGTTCATCTTGGGTAAGACATAAGCAATTCTGAAGAAATTAGTAGTACTTTGTAGGGGAAGTAGAAGAGTTTAAATAAACCTAGTATAAAGATACTGATGTATATTTTTTCTATCATCATTATATTTTCAAAATGCTTTCAGTGTTTTTTAATTGTTTGCAAAATGAAAAAAGAAGGAAAAAGAAAGAATTGAAACGAATATTCATCACTTGTAGACTATTACGTTAGTTCTATACATTAAATACAAAATAACAGGCTTGTTGTATTAACAATAATTTTACATCTATAAAAAGTGACTTACGAATGTCAAAATAATTTTCCATTGTCATGGGTGGGTTAGATATTCTAATTCCCTATTCCATGCCTGCCTATATTCTTTTCCTAAAAAATAATTTTATTAAGAATTATAAATGAAAAGAATAAAAGTCAACACAAACTACAAAATATACAAACGGAAAAACAAACAAACAAAAAGCAGGGGGGAGAGTATAGGGGAAAAAAAGGGGGGAAAGAAAAAAGAAAAAAAGAAAACAGAAAAAGTAATTTCCCCCTTCATCCCAGCAGGTAAAAACAGTTTTAATAACTTATCGCCATCTCTAAATAAAACATAATCTCTCTTCTCCCCATAACTCATTTCTTAAGTAACAAAAACAAAACAAAATCCAAATGCTTCATCTCTGTCCATATTCTTGAATGCCTAAGTTGAATACTAATGTAGTATAATTTAACAAGCACTTATAAGTAACATTTGTAGGGTTGTTATTTTGTTGTGAGTCTGTTAAAATTTCTATAAATAAAGGTGGTTCTGGAGCACTTAGGTTGAAGGCTCATATCTTGACATCAGTTGTTTTACCTATAAAAAAACCCACTGTTATTTTTGCCAAATGATATTCACACTGCAGCTTCTCCAAAGGCAAACATTCATTATTTGAGCCTATTAACTGATCAACAGTATGCATTTCATATCCACTACCTCCCCCAACACGAGTGTTTTGCTACGTTCCCTTTCAGACCATAAAGATCAAAGGAGATGTCCAGGCCTCCCTCTCTGGTGGCTCATTTAGAAGGGGGAATTCAATATTTTCCCAAATAATTGGACCCTAAGGGCCTACAATTTATAAGTGGTGTCTGATAACACTGATCCCAAGGTAGCCAAGAGGATGTTTCCAGCTCATTGACCTGAGACAGAAGACACACCTTATTAAATCTGGAATGTTAGAAAACTTCTTTCTCTAACTGGAAACAGGAACTTCCGAACAAAGGAAAGAACTTCTCAGACTCCTAAGATGTTAAATTCATTTTCAGAAAATGTATTTTAGAATATATTATAGAGGAATATTAATATTCCTATACTGTAAATTATCAACAGCAAAGCTTTCATTTTTAAAAGTAAGTGACCTTTTATAGCTTAGAAGATAGACAGTGAGGTGTTCCTTGAGCATTTGAACAGAAGATTTAAAATAAATTATTTTTGCCCAGACTTTCCCACTGCTACAAGAAAAAAATAATTTAGGTTTATAAAGATCTTAGGACTCTGCAATTGGATCTGCAGCTCAAATATTGCTTTTCAGCATAGCCCTCACCACTGGATCCCTAGATAACTTGGCAGGAAGAAGCAAAAACAGTAGGTGAGTGATAACAGCTGAAAAGGCAAAAGGTAAATCCCATTTATAGCTACCCTAACTGGTGTCTGAGATCAAAATACGTAATCCCTGCCAAGAACATGGAATATATGTTCCCTTCCCCTTCTTGAATTTTGCCCATATCATTCATGTACAGCCATATTAGAGGAGCTAAGTAGATGCAATGCTATTCCCAAAAGTAGTGATTGTATATATGACTTTCAAAGCCTACACTGCAGGCCTGGGGTGGGGAAACTTCATATTGGGAGAATATTAAGATTTCAATCACCATTCTTGATATAGTCCCAAGACTGAATCCCTTGATATTTCTATTGGAGGGAAAAACTCACATTTGATCCTATTTGCTGCAATGAATTTTGCTGTCCTGGACGTTGGGGTAGAGGGAATAAACAAAATCAGAGATTTGGCCATGCTGTAATTTAAATATGAAGGGTTGTGAATATGCCTAAGCTATTATAAAGTATAATGTTGATATATTGCAAATGAGCACAAAGTACTTCAGTTACAAGCACACCTTTAGAACTAGTCAGACATTTCTTCCAAACGTAAATATTGTATTTTAAAAAGATTTTTCCTACCTTAAGTTTTCTCACAGCATCCCTTACAACCTCTGTACCTTTGGGCTGCTCCACTTCTGTACTGCCAAGAAACTGAAACATTGCAATTTGTGAGACAAAGTTTTAAGCCTTTGAAATAACTAATCAATATTTTAATTGCCAATAATTTATTTCTGTATGATTTTAAATCATAAAGACTAAATAACATTTGGGTTAAACTGAAATATTTTACCTAATTGGACATTGTTTTCTTTCATTTTATATGCTTTTGACTGCTACAGCATGATGTCTACTTTCATAATTGTTCTCCTCTGGAAAACCAATCTTGGAGACATCCTAACTTTTAGTGATGAAAAATCTCAGCCACAAATGACCTGCCACGATATTTTAAAAACATTTCAGACTCTGCCTGCAATTTGGTCTCTTTCTAATATTATCAACTTGCGGAGAACCACAACAGTAACAGACCTATCTGAAATATGATGTACTAGCATAGAATTTAGGGCAAAACTTCATAATAAAGTGTGGTGTTATGCTAGAATTTATTATATTTATTCTGGAACACACATTCAGGATTAAGATAAAACGCAAACAGTACTCAGAGATACCATCATAATGGCTCATAGTAATGCTGACTTGTACAAATGTAAACATTTCACTTAAACAATTGTTATTCATTTCAGAGAATAAGGGAAGAACTGCTGCATTCAATTGATCAATGAGGGGGCCATGCTGAAGCATTGGCGAATAACTCATGCAGGAATTTCGCAGTAGAGGCAAAAAGGATTATGTGATATGCTTTGGCATAAACTCAAGGCTATATACACCCACTTGTCTTTCATACATTACGTTGCTAATCTTTCCCATCTCTGTATACTAGATGGCAATAAAGGTGAGATGGCCATAATATGAAATAATATGTGTTGTTGTTTTCTATATCTCTGAATTTGCACAAAGGTTGGCAACCACTATCTTAGATCTTTCTCTTGATACAAATGATGATCAAAAAGAAAGATGCATGGGCTGTACCCTACTATGGACATTATGTATTTTCTACAGGAAGAAGTGTTGTAAGTACAGCTATAGCATTCTTGTTTTACATCAGACATATGGGACTTAGCTCATGTATTCCCCACCCCCTCCCTGAAACTTTAGCCAAAATCTCTTGGGTAACAAGGGGCCCAGAGTAGTTTCTTTTTCCATGCAATGAGAACAATGAGGTCCTTCTTGCTTCAGTGAAAAATTGCTCTATGCTTCTTGTACAGACAAAACGACTGCAACAGAAAATTCTCTACTTTTTTCTGCATGGAGAAAGTGGCTACTCTGAGCTGTGAAGTTTGGCTCAGAGAGTGTAGAGCATCAGGGATGGATGGGGTTCCTCTCCTTGATGTCTGCCCATTGTCACCTGGCCACTGAGAGTATAGCCCTTACTGAAAACTGCTGTGCAAACTAATTCACACTTTATTACTGGCCTTATGGGCAATAATGAACCTATAATGTGTTTATGATATATCTCCCATGCCTTCCATTGTTAGGCAACTTCATAAAATTGTGAGACAACATGTTATGTTGGCTGATCCAGGATAGCTTTATTGTTCAGTAAAAAAGTTGCTAAGTGATCTTGAAAAATTAAGAAGGCAGGGATTGGCTATACTTGAATGGGAAATCTCTAGGGAATGCCAAGGCTGTGGACTAGACAGGGAAGTGAAAAAACATTCTGGGACAAGACAAAACACTTAAATACTGTTGCAAAGAAAACTATATTCAACACTAAAAATATCAGTGTACAAGAATGAACAACAATATATTCAATGTATTAGCTGTAATCATTTCAAGGCATTAATTTTGAAATAATTACTGCCCACACATCCTCACGACATGGACTTCCAAAATTATTTGTTCAAAAGGAATGTTAGGTAGCATCATTATTCTTGGCTCCTTCATAGATTGAGAGATAAGTTTTTACTAGTACTCTTCACTTCCTGCAGGCCCTAAATCTGTTTCAGTGGATAGACAGAAATCCTGACTAGATTGAATATTCTTCAGGATTGAACCTGTGAGTCTGTATTACAGTGATCTAACTACTGAACTAATAGTTAAGCAAATTTACAAGTACAGAAAATACCACTTCTGTGCTCAGAAGTACTTAAGCTGCTTGCTTAAAGTTAACAGATTCTGTGGTGTAGTTAAAATGGACGAAAGCAGGAGTGAGTAACTTCTGCTGAACTGTTAACTTCCATCATTTTCACCATTAGTCAGGCTAACTAGGACCAGGGAGAACCTCAGTTCAGCAGTACCTGGAAAGCTAGAGACACCCCTGCTCTATAACTCTCTACCTCTCATCTTGTTAGTAATAAACCATTGTTTAATAATAAAACCTTTGATTAAAACAAAACTGTAAACAAGTAACAACAGACCTCCATAGCATATTATTAAATAGCCACCAATAAATAATGCAAAGTGTATTTCAGGAAGGAAATGATATAAAAATAGGTTTTAAAATTGTTTAAAAGTGATCAGATAAGGAGCCATAGTTTAAAAATATAGATTTATAAACTAGCCTCCCATTATAAAACCACATTAAACAAGTAATTTGGATACCGAGCCAGATTTTCAGTTGTTTCTTCAAGTTGAAAAATATAAGTTTCCTGGAAAACATTTTATCAGATATGTTTACGTTTAATGCATCCAACACCATTATGCCCAGCTAGTGGACAAAATAATTATCCTTAAAATCTTTGAAAAGACATTAGCATTGAGACTATTAACAAATTCTAAGGGTAGAACACAAAATGTTACATTTATTTTAGTAATAATTTAGAAAGTGTGTATTAAGATCATTCCCAAGAAATCATGATACCTGAGCCCATTTATCATTTTAGCACTATAGTGAGTTGTAGGATAAAAATGAAAGTACTCAGTAACATTTACAATCATTTAATTTTTGTTAATTTTGACCTTTTTTCCCAGTCTTCAGATACTGAAATCACTTCTTTGCACTGTCATACTAATCTGAAAACACCAAGCAGAAAGAGGTTCTCTCTTGACAAATAGATCATTTAGACTTACAATGATGTATATGCATACCAGGGGCACTGCAACAAAGTTAGAGGAAACAAGTGGGACAAATACATACATAGTCTGAACTGACAGTGGTGTCTGTGTTTTCACATCATTGTTCTTCTCCTTTATTCAGGGCAGATCTTGCTGAGCAAAGAGGCTTAGCCAAGAACTCACATAAATGATTATTCATAACATTATAGCTTTCCCTGTTCATACTAACAACTGAGGAACTAGATGAAATCCACTTATGATGGAATTAACTTCATTTGAAAATGGTTTTGAAAAATTAAACCAGGTATCTAAGACATGTAACTCTTTCTCTTCCAGTAGAGAGCAGCATAGGATTTGTTATTAAGCAGATAATAATTATTTTAATTTATTCCTGTCGTACATTTTTTTTTCAAATTTCATGCATGACTTTTAATACCTTTGAATCATTGAATGCTAGTAAATGTTTGGAATTCCACAGAATAATTGCTGAATGATTGAAATAGCATCCTCAGTTTGTAAATTAGATATACAAGTATGCACCATTTATTTTTCTGAATTTATGTAAACAGTGGAGCTAAAAAGCTATAAATTATAAATACTGTGATATGTCCATATAGTCCGTATATATAAATACCTTCTCCCTTCCCTGCAGAAAATAAGAGATAACTTTTTGGCTGAAAAAGAAGTTGAATACCTCAATCTCACAATATTAAAATAATGCATACGGTACTAAAGAAATGACTCATTGTTGGAAACCAGTCCTGGAATCTGAAACAAAGAATTCCTTTTTAACATGCACTGTATGCAAATATTCATTGCAACCAATAGGCA